TATTCCTGTTTCATCAACTTATTTGCCAGTAAATTGTCTCGTTTTAGATATGTTCAGATGTAGAGCATGTTCTAATTTATTAAATCATCTGAGTGAGAGATGTGTAGGTGATGAAGGTATATTGCTGCATAAGTAAGGGAAGTCGATGATTGAACAGTTAAAGTCATCACCCTTTATCATAAAGCTACATTTAACATATTTTTCTAGTTATATATCCATAAGTCGATATTTAATATATGACTTCAGAAATCGAAACATACAAAAATGAGGTTCAAAGATTCAAATGATATGCAATCATTATAATAATTTAAATTCTTTCCAACTCTATCTCAAAGGATACAAAAATCCAGGCATAGCGTGAAAATTCTATGACATTTAGAATAAAGAGTTACAATATTACACGGTGATGCTATTATGCTAAATGGATGCAACAAAGGTTTTGAATTTGTTTTCAATGGTATATTTTATATATTAGTCCACGCATCTTCCCCTTATGAATTTCGAATTAAATCAGTTTTTCTTAAGATTAAATGTCGTCATTATTTTATCCTGGGAAGGAAATTCTAAATTGATGAGTACCACAAAGTGTAATCGATTTTGTCTGTTAATCCTATTAAAACAAATCTCATTAATTCTTAAATTTGTCCGTGTAGCGGAAAACGACTTTTCGAATTGCGTAACAGGTACTCTGTAGAGATGGATCCATAAATGCCAATGACCCTGAGTGCTGAGTTATTGGTCTAAATTTGCAGCTCTTCACCGGCAAGTGGTGGCGTCTCAACATGAATGAAAAATTCTCGAAAGGAACGTTAAACAAACGGACAAAAAAAAACAATAAAGAAAAGTGGCATGTTAATATGGTTTATTCTAGCTCACTTTCTTGTTAACCTATGGAGTCCCAACCTATCCTAGGATGTTTGCTTGTTTTGTGACCTTGCTTGTTTTGTGACCTTGCTTGTTTTGTGACCCTCCTGTTCTTCAGAAGCAGATGATTTCTTACTAGCATATTCATGTGCTTAATGATGACCTTTGGGGTTTTCAGGAGTACAAGATTATACGTACTTTATATACACTGTACTACTATAATTTATCATTGTCACCCAGTCCTACTTCCAAACTTGAATCAATGCTGCTAAAAATCACTTTTTATTCGCAAGAACTTATTTTCTCGTAGTAACACGAGACAGTGTGCTCGCCAAATTTTAATTCTCGCGTATATTAGTATTCCTCGGGAATATATACACGTATAGCAATTACCACAATTCGTGAAAATTCTGTCAGCCTCATTAATAGTCAATGACTATTTCGCGAAAATAAAGTGTAGCGAATATTTAGTAATCTACAGTATTTCAAAAAAGCTTCCTTTTGAAGTGCTGTCATGTTGTAAATTTTGTATTTACTGCCACGTTGTAAATATTGTATATACTGCCACCCGGTAAATTCAAAATTACAATATGACAGTTCATCTTTTGGTCCAGTTGTTCTTGGAGAACAAGAGTTTTACAAGATGCCACTAAATTTTGTCTGTATAATTCTTAAGAAATAAAGTGAACTTTTTTCGTTTGATTAACTTTAAAATCTTCTCGAAAGGTGTTTTATGGCAAGTTTAGGTGAAATGAGTCTTATGGATCTGGAATATATGTCAAAATGTTAAAACGCGTTAACACACTGACAGATAGTCAAAATTTCATAAGGAAATGTTTATTGTAGGTCTGAGAGCAAATCTGAGCTAAAAACAAGCCATAGACACACCAAGAAGTCTAGATGTCTTGGTTGACACCATGACGTTGGCTTAATATACCGGTCCCTGCATCCAATAAATTTATTTATGCCATTTAACACACGTTCACCGTTCATTTCTGAGTGAAGAACAAACCAGTTCTGATACAGCTGCCACATCTTGAACAGACGTCCCACACGTTTCACTTTGTTCAATTCTTCCGCAAGTAAGTAAATATTAAATCAAAATTAAATTGATAATATATGTATCGTAAATTCTGACATTCCTGATAAATTTTCTATTTTAAGTATTTTAGTACAACCTTCCATCCACAAATCAGTTTACAATTATGTATCAGTAATAGTCCGCTCCATGGGTAGAATTTTTAAAGCTCATTTGTTAGGACACCTGACAAGTAATTCAGAAGGCCGGTGTTTTATTAAAGGTCCAGTCATATCTCTTCTCTTTCTCATTCGGAGCCATTCACCATTCGTAACCATCTTCCCTAGCTAAAAGTTTCTAATCTGCTACTCTCCATATAAACCCTTGGCCTTTGGTGCTTGTCACAAGTCGGGATTGTTTATGTCACTAACCATAGTTACAGATTGCATCATCAAAAGAAATAAATAGCGTATTTAAAAAGAATAATTAACATGCAGGTATCCATGCAGTGTTGTTAATTTGTTAATCGTTATGTACAGTATTTTAATAAAATAAAATGGCACGTTTTCCTTCGGGCCGTTTTTTAATTGTGTTCTTTATTTTCGGAGACTAAAGAGTTAAGATAAATTCCATACGGAGATATCGTCAATAAAAAATGATAGGTCAAACTTTAACAAATACTTCAAAGACAAATCGAGAGAGAAAATCCAAAGATCCTTTTTGATAGCAACATAAGCCAAACTTTTGTGAGGGGTGGCGGATCAGAAACCCTTGACACTAGCGGAACTGTTCGTGACCTTGTAAATGAAAGTTCTGCCTGGAGCTAAACACTGCATTGCATGTTTTCGTGGTGGAGACAATTTAAAGGGATAAAGGTAGTGGTTTTCCCATATGGACCCTTTATAGCTCAGTGGTTAAAGCAACAGACTGGTATCGGAGTTTTATGAAGAGACTTCCTTTTACATTTGACTGCTGACTTTTACATTTTAATAAGTTGAGTTTGTCTCTGTTTAAATTGTAGAAGTCAGTCGTCGATAGTAAAAGTAAGTCTCTTCATAAAACTCTAATTTTAGGGCACTGGAATCAATTTCTGGCACCCTTCCAAATGTAATAGTTTGGGCTGTGGATATCGGCCTGGGTTGCTTAGTCGGTATTGCGCCTGACTAGTGATGGAGGGGTTCCGGGTTCCATTTCCGGTCCAGCCATACATTTTCTCCTTTCCTGTTAAGATTTAGTGCGGTTGGTCACCCGGCCCTTGACTTGCAGGTGAAAGTCCTGATAGGGACTTATGAGAGTTTTGGTTGTGTCTTCAGGGGCAAAGACAATTTCAGGAGAGAGGATTGATTGATTGTATATTGTTTAAAGTCCCTCTCGAATTTTTCACTCATATGGAGACGCCACCACTTTCCGGTGGAGAGCTGTAAATTTTGTCCTATACTCGGCACTTTGGGCCATGGAGCAGGGAGGGGTCTCTTTCGTGCCAGCACCTACTGCGAAACAGGACCTCGGTTTTTACGGTCTCGTCAGAAGGACCGGTCTCCACGTCTCACAGTGGGATTCAAACCCGCGATGTAAGGATCAACGCCTTTCTTCGCGACTCTAGAGCAGACGCTCTAACCACTGCGCCACGCGGGTGACCAGGAGTGAGGAAGCTGGGGTTTGGGCCGTTGATATCGGCCTGGGTAGCCCAGTCGGTGGAGCACCTGACTAGTGATGGAGGGGTCCCGGGTCCGATTTTCTCCTTTCCTGTCATGTGCACATAAATCTTCTCTATATCTGATATAATTGGTACTTTTGAGCACCTCTTGGTCTGCATGTGAAAGTCCATTTAGGGGATAAAGAATCTTTCTTACATGTGCCATGGGAGACAAAGAAAAATAAAGGTGACGATAACAGTGGTCGATTGAAGTGATGTGTGCATAGTTGTTTGGGCTAAATGAACTGTTGATATTGACCCAGATAACTCCTTGGTTGCAACACCTGACTAGCTATGCAGAGGTCTAGGGTCACATCTCCGTCCTGCCGTAAATGTTCTCCTTTCCAGTTACACATCGTTAATATTAATGGTTCAGATTTTCAGCCCGTTCTGCTGATATCGACAAGATCAATGGTCCGAATAAACTGAGAAAATTGTAAATTTCTTTACTTTCTAAGAAAAATAAAACTATCCGAACGTGTCGATCAACCTCCCCTTTCAGGAGGAGGCGAATATTTATTTATTTGTTTGTTGTAACGTCCCTCTTGAGATTTTTTCTTTACTCATATGTATACGCCACAACTAACCGGTGGAGAACTGCAAATTTTGACCTTATACTCGACACTTAGGGTGATTGAGGAGTGCGGGATATTTTTCATGCCAGCACCAACTGCAACACGGGACCTTGGCTTATACGGTCTCCACGTCCCATTGTGGGATTCCAACCAGTGACGTCAGCTAGGTTTGTAGGGAGCAATTTTCAGTTTGATGGCCACAGCCACACAATTTCAGTTGGGCACTATCGTTCGCTTATCAACGACAACAAAAATTCCTTGACTAGCAAAGAATGGTCATCAATTAGGGGGCACAAGTGTACCAATGGTTTTTTATCGGCGCAAAATTATAGGGGGCAAAGACGCCCCCCCCCACCCCACCCCACTCCCCCCCCCCCCACCCCCGGTTTCTACGATCATGGAATCAACTCCTTACTCCACGACCATCGAGCAGACGCTATAACCACTGCTCCACGCGGGCGACGCGTATATTTATTATGGACATACGTTGGCAAGTCAAGACGTGTTTAACACGCAGTCACTGCGTGCATTAGGTAACCTGTTTGTTTTGACATTGACCGATTTCCCAGCTGACAGCTGTTATCATTGTGTCGAATCACGCCAAGCCATCGTTTATCAATAACAGGCACTGCGCACATAACCATATTTGGTCATGAAATGGAACATTCGCTGTGTTGCTAGGCGGAAGATATATTTTTAGCTTGTAAAACCTATTTCGAGAAAATGATGAGTCACCAAAAATTCTCTAGTGTCACGTGGTATGTATGAATCATTCATTGACGTCACAGCTTAGCCAAGTATAAAAGCCGATTTATTTGGCAGTATCTCAGATTCTGTTCGTGTCATTGCCTGGTTCTAGACGCCATTAAAAGTAAGAAAATATTGAAGTCTTCAACAGGTTATCTGAATATTTTATTTATTTTTAGATCCGCCTAGGGCGCCCACCACCTAACTATTTCCACTTCCTGCAGTTCAAATCGAGGTTTATTCATGGCGGCAGGTTCGGAGGACACATTGTTTACGCAGCTAAAGTAATGCGTTTTCCAGTGGAGTTAAATTCATATAACTAATGTCAATGGCTGAAGCAAGTCCTCCTCTCGCTGAAAACAGCAATTTGCAAATTTGTGTTTTATGCGCATCGGATTTAAAAGACAAGAATCCAAAATTATTGTCGTGTTTACATACGTTGTGTGAAAACTGCTTGAATTCACTATTCCAAGTACAAATTCAACAAAAGCGTCCAAACGAAGAAAATGGAGATATAGCATCAGACGAGAAAGGCGAAAATGCGGGTATAATTTTTGTGTTATATCAATCGTTCTGATTCATAATTTATTAAAAGTTGCCGGTTGTTTTGAAGTTACAGTCGTGCATGTGATAAGGGAAGCAACTCCTACTTTACCAGCTGTGTTAATCACTAAATCAGCAATGTTGACTGATATGGCGATTCAATGAAGAAGTTATAGTAGGCAGATTTTATTTTAAAAAATAATAACTTGATTCATTAAAGAAAAATAATAGAGTTTAAATTAAATTATTTTAGAAACACCCCAAAAATGAATATATGGGTCACTTGCTTAAACACTGTCAGTGAAATGCATGATAAATGTTCTTCCACAATATCACAGAATATTAAGTAAAGTTAAAAAAAAAAAGTTTTAGAAGCTATTGCTCTTTTCTGCTGCTTTTATTGAAAGCACATTTCTTTGATGGAGTTCATAGATTGTAATCGACTTAAATGTTACTTAAATTGTTAGCCCATTAGTCTCAGACTAATACATTTTTATTTGGACTACTAAATTTTGTGGCTAATTAGGACTAATAACATTTTCTGGAAAAATTTAATAATTTAAAGTTGTTCAGTTCTCAACAACTATCTTTGGAGAACCCTGTATATGTATATTTTTAGGTTTCTAGCCTCTTGGCAGGAATTAAGTTGGGTAATTCCGAGTCAATTTGGCTCTAAATTTTAGGACTCATTGGTATGAAATAAAACATTTTAGCAATCTTGATTTAGTATGACACTTAAAGAAAGATGTCAGATGTTGGATGATCATGTAAAGAGAAAAACAAATGAGATAGAAGTTCCTGATAGCTAGATTTCAATGAATCTTGCAGTAAAAGTAAATGCTTTGTTTATTTTAAAATAGTATAAAAAGTACGATGCATGTTTATTCTACTTATTCATATATTTTGACAGACTCGTTAAATCATGGATTGCGCACACTAGTAAAAGTAAAGAAGCACTAGTCTGGCTGGACTAAAGCCAAAAAATGTCAGTGTCGAAGCCTGATTATACATCAGTGTAAAGTGGAATGACATTGACCAAAATGAAATGTCATTGTGGCAAGTTCAAGGTCACTGCCCGAAAAAAACATACTGATACCATAGTATAGACTAAAGTATTGTTTGGGCTATAACAACTGTAAGGGAGAATCACTGGAAGCTAATATTTAATACAAAGATTACTCATGACCTAATTCAGAATGTATGTCATAACCTTGACCCAAACTCATTGCAAATTCAAGGTCACTGCTAGGGCTCGACATTAAGGCTTGTCCAGTACCAGTGAAAAAAAAATTACGGACAAGTGAATTGCTGGGCAATTGCATTTTAATGTAAAAAAAGCCTCTAAGTAATAAAAAGAGTGCTGTAAATTTAAGTTAATCAGTAGTTTCAAGACAGAAGTTGTACATTAAAAACAGACCTCAATCCTGATAGGGATCGCTATTAATTGAGTTCTCATTTGATTGGATCAAAGTTCACTAATTTCATATTACTGAAAAGACATTGAACTTACAAATTACGGAAGTTTGGGATGGATTCTGTTTGATGTTGACAGGTTAACTTTTGAACATTTGTGTTGTTGTCAGGACAGAAAGCCTAGGCCAAAAATAAAAATAGTTTATTTTATTTATCCTGCTACCCGACCTACCCTTTTTTTTTTTTTTGCACCTGACCCTAATTTTTTTTAGCTTTTGGGGGAAAAAATGGAAATTGCAGGAATTTTATGATCCAAAAGTGAAAAAAATATATATATTAAAACTGTATTTCATGAAATATATGTTTAAAATATGTTCTTTTATAACATTCCACTTGAGTTGTGCATCAAAAGACATGAAATTTCTTTTCAACAGATAATATTGACCTAGTTATGACGTTTTATTTGGTTTTGTAGTAGTTCATATCCAAAAAATACCTTTGGAAAAAATAAAATAAATTAAAAAAATAAAATAATTTTCCTACCTACCGACCCTATTTTTTTCAGGCTGGTAGCAGGAAACAAGACTATTATTTTTTTTGGCCCTAGATTAAATTTTGTTTTATTTGTTTATTTTATTTATCAATGAGATCACAAATCAATCAAGTACAAGTTGAGTAATGGACTTTTTTTTTTTAGTTTTGAAGTTGACAAAATTTGAATTTATATCTTGAATGAAAAATTTTCGGACAATTGAAGTTCAGACAAGTAGGGCTGGGATGATACAACTTTTTCTATATCGATACGTATCATGATAGTTGAGCCACGATACGATATGTATCACGATATGTATAATTGATTATAAAATCTTTTTTTTCATTGAAGTAAACAAAATATTTCTTTGCAAATAAGAATAATTTATTCAAAATAGTTGTTTATATGTTGTATAACAAAAATATTTTACTCAAGTGGTGTTAAATTATTATTTGTTTCATATCTATATTTATATTTATTATTTTGCTTATTTATTTTATATATTAAACCCCAAATGTTAAATAAACAAAGAAAAACAGAAGTAAGATTTTTTACGATATTTCAATATTTCTTCATTTGTATTGATAAGCATATCGTCCTCACACAGAATCGATGTTATTGATATCTCGTCCCAGCCCTACAGACAAGTAAATGGTCCTCATTGGTCTGTCCATCTGTTAGTCTACCACAAAAACTTTAACCTTGGTATTACCTGTGACAAGACTTTCAAAATACTTGCAGATACTCCATGATTTATGACCCCATGACATTGACCTTGAAGTTTGATATATATATTTTTTCAATTTATTTTTATTGTATATTCCAAGCTCTCAGATTAGCTTACATGACATAAACATGTACATAATCAAGTATATAACATCATATAGTCTTGAGTTGCTATTTATCAGTTCTAAAAATGCACATCGACTTAATGATTCAAAAAAAGAAAATAATTTTCTGTTAACAAAAAATAGTGCTGAATTCAAAACAGTTGGACAATGTATGACTTTATTTATTTATTTATTTTTTTTTGGAATATATACATATATATACTTCAACTCGTATTTATAATATAATTGTAGTGTTCTGTAATAATTAGTAAGAAAGCTGAGTAATGTAATTGGTATATATTAACCGTATTAACTGATTAAAAATTTGTTTTGCAAATACATGTAGAAGTATTAAAACAAATTGATGGATTAGCTGGTATGTCTTTTCAGTCCAGAGAGACTCACAAGATGGAAAGGTCATTGATGTGCAAGCCAATCAAGGGGCTTTAATTAGAAATAGAATAATTAGCTTTAGGATCTAAAAATAACTCATTAAGAGTTTCATTCTGACGGATCATATGTAATAAAGGGTTGTGTTCCCTTTTAACTAGCATCTTATTACAGACCTGTTTACTCTTACGATTTCGCCGTATTTTGTATGGATTTTTAGTCCAAAATACGTCTCACGTTTTGCTATTATGAAAATACGGAAATAAGAAATACACTTGTTTAGAATTGGGAAGTTAGTTTTCGTTATGACCTGTCTCAATATTACGCTTTTTAATCGCTAAAAAAAGATTTCGTCGTAACACAGTTACGTCGGTTTGCCCAGACGCCACGGTATAAAATGATCATGACCATGTTATTAAACCATGTTTTAGTAATTAGAAAAGCAGTTGTTCTCCTGAAATCTTACTGGCAAATGATATATACGATATGGGTAAACAGGTCTGTTATTATAGTTATACAGTAACTGGATATATACATGACTGTATATTTCAAGTTGCCACATTTTAATGCAATACTGCTTTCTTATTACATGTACATTAGTATGAATAATTATTTTTTGTGTAAAAAAAACAAATATGTAAATTAATATAAAAAATTTCTATTTGTAGTGTCGGAAAACTGTTCCATATTGTGTCCTGCCTGCAATGCCACAGTTGAGAAATCCTTAGTTTTAGACAACTTGTTTGTCCAGAGCACACCAATTGTTATCGAGGATGAAGAGGAGAAGGAAGAAGAAAACCACATTTGTACAGCTTGTGACGAAAATCAAGATGCCACTTCATTTTGTGCCGAGTGCAAAGAATGGTTATGTGATCAGTGTGTGTTTGCTCATAAACGAGTACGCATTACCAAAGACCACACAATTCAGTCTAAAGAAGAAGCGAAGAAGATAGAGGATGATGCCAATTCTACACCTCAAAAAATTATGTTTTGTACTGTGCATAAAAATGAACAACTCAAACTGTTTTGTGAAACGTGTGACAAATTGACTTGTAGAGATTGCCAGCTTGAAGAGCACAAAGATCACAAGTATCAATTCTTATCTGAGGCTATCAGACACCAGAGAGAAAACCTGCAGAATGCTGTTGTGAAATTAAAGCAAAAACTTGGAAACTACCATCAAGCAGACAAAATTCTGACCTCAAAGAATACCGAATTAAAATCAAAACTTAATGAAGTTTGTCAAAATATGAGAGACGTGGCAGATAGCATAATCAAAGAAATAACCAAGCATACAGACAATCTTATTCAGTATCTCGAAAAATATGTCAGTTCTAAAACCAGTGTAATATCTGACAAACAGCGCTTGGTGAAGGAAGCATTGGACAAAATGAAACATACCATTGAATTTGTTGAGAATGCTTTGACTGTTGGTGATGATACCTCCATACTTTATGCCAAAGGTGTGATGATGAAAACCTTGCGAGCACTTGCAAACAATGGAATTCCCTTCCATCCGAGTATTCTTAATTATTCCATATCCTATGAACATGAAAAGGATTTCATATTGAGGAATGTTAACAAAGCTGGTACACTGGTAATTGACAACCAAAAATTTCCTGCCGTACCTGGACAGAGGCCTGCCCCTTCTTCCCAGCAGGTACAAAGTGCCTCCAGCCAGTCCAGTGTTTTCCCCCACAGTGTGATGCCAAATCGCACAACAAATGCCAGCGGTTACTACACCAGTAGAAACTCCATACCACCCAGGATCCAGCAGACATTTTCCCATCTCTCAACTGATGAGCAAAGGAATCTGACACAGAAAATTTACAATATGTGGACTCAGCAACAAGGTCCTGAACAAACGTCAGGAGCAGCCAACTATCAGCACCAGGGTCCCTCAACCTGTGTAACACCTGTAGACCAGTCAGTCAGAAATTTGACAAATCTAGTCAATGGTGTTCCGTCTCAAAGGCCTATGCAACCAACATCTAATATTCGCTTCCGACACACAACAGCTATGCTGCAGTCGAATGTAAACTCACCTAGGCCACATGGGCCAGAGAGAGTGGGCATGCAGTTGCCTACAAATAGTTTACCCAGTACTGTCCAGCCCCGCCAGGCAAGCCCAATGGGAGGTATGGCACGACCACATGCATCTGCAGGGGACCAAGTCCGTTCTTCAATCAGCCCAAGTTCTGCAGCAGACAGAATAATCGCAGGGAGAACATTTCAAGGCCATCCATCGGGTAAATCTTGGAATTTTGTTGACATGGGTTCCCGTTTTCATCAACCAGCATTCTTATCTCATATTGACCAGGGCTCACCAGGTAATTGCTGAGAACTGGGTCACTTTATGAAACTAGAATTTTGTGTTTCATTCTTAATGATGTAGGTGAACCAGTAAACTGTGGAATCATTTTAATTTGTGAGGGTCAAATCGACTCTATGGTCATGGGCAATCAAAATTTTGTTTTTTCATTGGGACGTAATTTTGTGGGTAGATAGAATATACATGTACTGAAGATAAAATTAATATACATGTTCAATGAGGAAATGACTGTTTTGGGGAATGTAAATTCATTGGTAAGGGGTGACCCATGAATTTGACGAATAGTGTTCTCCCACAAACACTGATGATTCCACAGTGGCTTACCTTAAAGTAAAAGTAGCAGAAATGGGGAAAAGGATTATAATCACCCAAAACTTTGCTCTTTACAGTAACATCTACCTTCTAGTGTATATAGGATTGGGAACATCTTTTTAATTATTTTAAACAATCAAACGTCAATCAACTCAAAAAATAACTAAAAATTCTAAATGTAGAAGTTTTAAAAAGATGCATTAAGCAAAAGTGGATGAGACTTTCAGCTTTGTTTGAGTTTGAAATGGCCATGGTATTAAGATATCATTGTTCAATATACAGAGGTTCAACTGTGTTTGTTAATTCTGTTTAACTTTTCAGGTCCTCAGGCAGCATCTCACCAAAACAAGACCCCTAGCCCGGCCGGAGCTGGATTTGATGAGTCAGCGACTGGGCAAAAACTACTGTACGCACGGTCTCCAACTGCTACAGGGTAATGTGAAGAGTTTGTCAAATAAAAAAAAATTGGGGAGGGGGGGGAACACCATTGAAAAGCATATGAAGTTAATGTATATAATAAAGTTATATCAATATGAATACAGAATGCTATACATATTTACTTTTCACACATTTCACATTTTTCAAATATTTTGGGATACACAGAACTGTAAATGTTTGAGTAAAGTTTATTATTATTTGAATTTAGCATGGCATCAAAAGCCTGCCATGTGTTCAGTGGTTGTCTATCCATTTTTCATGAAATTAAATGTATTCACTGTTGATAGTGAGGAATAATTGTAAATTTAAATATATGTATTATTCAATTACAGCAACCCTGTAAAGACTGAAAATAAACAGCTGTCCTCCTGCCAGTTCTCCTCAGCTAAAAGTGACACTGTAAGATATTTTACCAACCTTTTCTATTGAATTGATATTGTTTTAACATAAGAAAATTGGCATAATCTGTTTATACACATGTATAACACATTAAGTCTTAATTTTAACCTCAGTATATTGATTGCACAGATATCTTGAACTTTTTTCTTAGTTTCATCAAGTTCAAGAAAATGAAGTTAGACTATGTATAGAAATAAGAGCTAGTTTAGATGTTTTATTCAGTCTCCCCTACCAGAGAGGCACAGGACCCCACCCCCTCGACGAGCCTCCCCACACCCTCCACCACCTTTGATCCACACCAGTAATTTACAGAGCAATAACACCCCAAGTCCTTCCCAGGGGAAACAGATGCCCGAGAGTAAAGAGGACGACCCTAATGAGGACTACTGTGCTGTGTGTCAGAACGGAGGGGACCTGCTGTGCTGTGACAAGTGCCCCAAGGTGTATCATCTCAAGTGTCACATCCCAGAACTTAAAGAATTCCCAAGGTAATATAGGATATTAACATTTGCAGCAATTTTGTGGAATTTTAAATAGGCTGATAATTTGATGTATGAGTATAGCAGCATATTTTGGGGCAAAAAATATTCTTTATACGTGTGAAGGAGTTGCTTTTAGTTACCGTAATAATTTTTATGTGCTTGTAGTGATGAGTGGCAGTGTACATTATGTACAAAAGCTGATGACATGGTGTTGAGTGAGATTGAAAAGAAAGACTTTACAATGGGTCCAGGAAAACGAAAAGCTCCGTCAGGACTTACAGAGAAAGAATTAAAGGTAGGCAGAGTTACAAGCCAAATAGAGGACAGACCCAGAGTAGGCAAAATTATACAAAACAATGGTAACAGAAAAGAGATTGGATTAAAACATCGTAAAAGGTTATCTTAAAGAAATAAAAATCACTATTGCATGGAGTGCCATTTACTTATACTTTAAAATAATAGGACAAAGTTTATTTCAATTCTATCACTTGGAATTGACAGAAAAATTAGTTTTAATTGTGATTTTTCTCAAAGCTACAATGAAATTTAACCAATTTGAACTTTTGAGACTATGGTGTTTATAAACTGATCATATATTAAATAGAATGTTCTTTTTAAGTATGTGATTTAATATTAAGTATACAGGTTAAATACATGTTTTACAGGCATGTGAAAGAATCCTTTTAGAGCTCTACACTAATAAAGACAGTGCTGTTTTTCATGAACCTGTTAGTAAATTGGTATGTATGAAAGATTTTTATGGTTTGATTACTTGCATGAGATGAAAGTAGAATTAAAAAAAAACATAGTTCAGGGGTGTGCAATTAGCATCGCCCGACGCCCGGGGCTACCATTTTTTGGGGTCGGGCTAGTGATTTTCTGCAAGGAGGTAGCCCGTCGGGCTAGTAAAAATTATAACTACGCACGCAATACATGAAAAGTACAACTGGTATTTTCATCGGTTTTTTGCTATTTAATTCCCAACCAGTGAATATTTTCCAAACAACATGCTCCAACTGTCAATAAATCTCAATAATCTTATCTGTTTTGCAGTATTACATGACTTGTTTACTTCCAAAAACGATCGTTTTTTCTTAATCCGAATTCCCTCTATTCCTTCGTTTATGGTAAATACATGTATATACATGCAGATATCTCATTAAAATATTTACGATCACTCAATCAACTGAAAAATAAGTGTTTTGTGACACAGATAAAATATATTTCTAGTGTATTTAATGATTAAACATGGAAACAAAATGAATTTTATTTCATTCTAAATGAGCTGCTGCTAGTGCAATGTTCAGAAAAAGGGAAGATAATTTATTTAAATTCATTTTTATTTTCTTTCATGATAATTTAAACCTGATTTTTAAAATCTAATAGTAAGAATTAAACATTAATTTGTTAAAAAAAAAAGAATTACCTCAGTACCCTGACTTTTTCAACAATTAATTTCATTTTATTTGAATTTTTGCTGTATTTGGGCTAGTAACTTTTTACTTGGGGCTAGCAACTTTATAGCTGCCACTAGCCCATGGGCTAGTAATAAATTTTTCTAATTGCACACCCCTGTAGTTGATGAAGAAAACTAAAGATCAAGACTGCTGAATTTATCTTTATAAAGTCAACTTACAAGTCTTACATTGTCCCAAAACTAAATATTGGTTAAATCAGAAAAAGGCTTGAAAACAACAAAATATTATGTAGGTAGTTCCTATGAATGAACTTATAGATTTGACATGCTAAGAGTCAATAATCAATTTATTTATATATATATATGCCATTCACGAATTTGCTTGTTTTCTTCTAAAAGCTTTATTGTACACTTCTCACATATAACTGAGTTCTATGCAATTTTCATCAATAAATTTTTACTGTTTGAAAAAAAGTTATGTTTGTGAAAATTTCAACCAATTATAATAAAGGTAACTGTTCTGAACAATGAATAATTATTTGCTATCTGGAGATTCTAAACTATTTTGTGTTTTTTCTTTAAAGGTACCAAACTATTACAAAATCATAACCAGACCAATAGATTTTTCCAAGATAAGATCTAAACTTCAAAGACAGAATTTCAACCACTATAACACAGTAGAGGAATTCCTAAGTGATTGTAAACTGGTCTTCAAGAACTGTGTTACTTACAATTCGGTATGTATATATTTATGCTGAACTAAAATGTCAATTCTAAAAGGGTTTTTAAAATACAAGTATTAGCTTTGAAGTCATTAAATTTAGGTTTTGAGTTCCTCTAGGGATTGTATTTTAAAACAAAACAATAATGCATTGTAATTAAATATCTTTAAGGTTGGAACTCCAATATATGACCAGGGCAAAATGCTGGATGAAGAGTTTGAGCGTCTGGTACAGAAGTTTTTGCCGTGTTATTTTGATATACTGGATGACCTTGACACCAGGACAGACACGCCTGTGAGTGACGCTTCAGACGGGGGACCCGGAGAGAAGAAAAAGAAGAAGCGATACGAGGACGATCCTGACGCCTCACCTGTCCATTTTCACTGATACCGTGGCACATAGTGTTTGAAATGGATTTTAATCATGTTCTTTTGATGCCAATGTTTTAATAGGGTCCTTGATATGTTTCTGTTCTGGTAAGAGTTGTTATGATGGCAATTTTAAATGAAATGTAACCGATTGTCCCATTGATAATTAGAAAAAAAATTGTTGTTTATAAACTTTATAAAAACCCAGTATTTTGCAATCAACATTAAGCATGCTGCAGTGAAAGTATTTTTTGAAGATAACTATTTTTCTACTTTATTAATTTGTAGATAGATAATCATCTTAATTTATGTCTTTTTTATTTTACTTTCCAGTTGTTCACAAAACCATAGACTCATTAAGTGAATGTAAATCTTGTTTATTATTAGGAATGTTTTGTGTCAATGCTTGCTTTAATGTTAAATAGGTAACAAAGTTTGGTTTTCAAGTGCATTGATATTTCTGTGGAGTTACTGGTCTTGAAAAGAATTGTACATCATGTCAAACCTCACATTTTCACTTAATGATTTTCAACACATGTACAGTCAGAAAATAAATTTATCAAGAAAGGTTTTGTGTCTTTTCCTGTGAGTGATTTGTGTTGAGATTACCATTTTTAATTTTGGTCCCATGATGATGATAAATAAAGAATTTTTAAAAGATCATCATTTGAGAGTTCATTTGACTGTGCTGTTAGGATGGAAGTAAGTGTGAAATTTTTATGCGCCACCATAAATATGGCCAGCATAAATTATATTGTTTGTCATGTTTGATTTTCATGAGGTATGAAAAAAGTTAACAATATTGTATAGCTCCCCCAAATATCTATCAGCATAATAAGTTTGAGACAAGTATCTTGATTTGCTTTTGAGACCTTGCTAAAAACAATATTGAGAAAAGGACTGGTACTAGTATATTACATTCTTTTATGATGATAGAGCACCTAATTGGATACTCTGGAGACACAAGTTCAAATTCCAGTCTGGTCCTGCGTGTTGCTAACGTGTGCTGACTGTCATAATGATGCATCAAAAACGCAGTTTATAAAGCATAAGTTGTCCCAAACCAGGGTTTACAGTATAACCTTAGTAGCTATTAAATTCATTCCTTAAGCCAAGTATGCGAGAAGATCGAACATCTAATTTTAATTAGATTGTCCTTTTAAAGCAAACCCATCAATGTGTGATGTTTGAAATTCTAATTAAAATGCATAAAATTTTAACCCGGTCTTTTCTGAAAAGAAAGAATTTAATATTTGCCACCGCTATAAAAATTTTTAATCAAATATCGATAAACCATTCTTTCCAAAAGTTTTAATGGCTATAAATTAAAATTAATGAAGAATTGGAAATGTTACAAATGCACTGATGCAGAAATCAGGAATGAGCGTAGTTCTTCAAAGTGTGTTTTAATTAATCTTTGGATGTAATAATATGGTTCCAGAAAATTGTATGTAGTATTTACAAGTGACCAGGATACAGTCTACGTCACAACTTCATGTTTCAGGGCATTTTTGTTATACTGAGACATTATGTTGGAAGACCATGATCTTGGTCATATAAAGAACTGATCAACTTTTACAAAAATGAGGAAAGGTAGCGTTGAAAAGCTGATACAATTTAGAAGTAAATTGGCCTTTATCAGTAAAACATCAAAATCTGAAAAGGATGTGGCAGACTCTGTAGTGTCTTTTGTATCAAGTTCACTAGGACTATATCAAGTCGTCTAAAAAATGAAAAGAATTATATCTAATTAATAAAACATCGTCGATATAGCTAAATGTCGACTTGATGGCCACACCAAGTGTTTTCCTCTTAACATATAGAAGTTTGTGAATAAATTCTGCTTCATAGGAATATGTAATAGTGCAGCACAATAAGTGCTCAATAGCATTCCGACTGTTTGTTTAAAAACGATCTTCCAAAACTACGCCAATGTCAGTGAGGAACTCCAGCATCCTTTAAATAACAAATTCAGAGTACCTGTGTGTACAATCAGCTTGGTTTTAAATACATTTGCTGACCAATCACAATATGTGAAATTTTCCAAATTCTGTTTTTATTGAAGAGTTATCGATTACATAAAAAAAAATTATAGATATTAATTTATCTTGAAGAATTAAATAAAGTGTAAAAAAAAAAAAAAAAAAAAAAAAAAAAAATTAGTAACTTTAGATGTTACAGACTTTTGAAAAAATGGTGAATTTAATCTGTAAAATTGTAGGATATCCACATCCGATTTACTGATGCAATGCATCATTGCAAGGGTCATTATGAAGTTTAAGAATCCAGTACAAGTTGGGTAGATCAAATGCACCTTGTTTGACTGGTATATTAAAGTTTTACACTCTGAAATGTGGTTTTGAAGAATTGCTTCCTCGGAAAATGAACTTTGGGTTTATGGTTAGACGTAGTTGAAAACGAACCATATTAATGAGCCTTAGAAAATAAGATTATTGTTACTAATATTCGATGAAGGTTCCAGTTTGCAAGAAACTTGTCTTGCGTGAAGCCTTGTAGTTCTTATACCTCATGAATCTTCAAAAATTAAATTCATTTCATATATTTACATTATTTTTTTGGTGACTTTAAAGCAAAACAGTCTGTACTATATTTTTTGACGTCAAGCGCGGTATTATGACGTAACAAGGAGTTATATCCTTATTCATGGTACATATGTAATGTAGTTCATGAGAAAATGAACTGCATTTTATTTTGTAAAGAATCATAGGAGAAATCTATTGGAAATGTAAATATTAGATAATGTTCTGAACTCTATGACATACAACATGTCAAAAATCATATGACATTAAACTTGACTTTCTCTCATGATTGAGACTTTAATGAATTAAAAACAGTTCATGTAACCACTTTTTACCAGAAGCTTCATTATGAGTAGCTGGAAAACAAGGGCTATTCGAGACACTGCATTAAAAATGAATGGTAAAGAATCAGTAAACTAGAGTGAAATCAAACGCTTCATTAAAGCTGCTGTAAAACTCGTTAAGAACCTCAAAGAAATATTCACAGATATATGTGAAATTTACAGCTATCAATGTCTTATAGACTCATGAGCAGGTGGACTTCAATGATCAAATATGTTATAATGGGCATCAAAAATGTCCTTGGCGACTAAGACTTACAACAACCAATGTACTGTTTGCCAAAAATCAACAAATAATCACTGATGCTGTTTGATTGACTTTAAGACACATGTCAAGTTTGATAGGCATCATTTTGGGGGTAGTTTACACTGTTTTAAAAAACATTTCACAGTGAAAAAGCTTAGTACTCGATGATCACCCCATGTTTTGAAAAACGAAGGAAAGGACAGCGTGTAAGAAAATCTAACAATTATTTTAAAAAATCAGCAATTGTAGTTATCTACATTTGTCTGAAATTCTAACAGATATTGAAACTTGAATCCATTGCTTTAAACCCTTAAAACAAACTTACAATAAGATACACTTGACAAAAACAGCAAAGGTCTGAGAAGAGCAAAGAACTGCAAGAGCATAAAGGCAGTTTTATATGCTATTTCCTTCAATATTAGTGGTCTTGTTGTTCAAATTCTTAGTCGGTGAGGCAGTTCAATTTTTGGAGGAGTCTAGAAAGCAGAGTTTATGCCAAAAAAAAGTCAAAAGGTTTACGAGAAGAAGGAACAAGAATCAGGAATCAAATACATTGAATTTCTTTATGACACCGTCCAAATCGAGTAAAGGAGTTTTGGGGATAAACAAAAAGTTAGTGTTTTGTCACATCAACAATATTTGCCAGATCTTTCACCCTTTGACATGTTTCATTTTCCAAACTTGAAAAAAAAAACACCTTTCAGATAGAAGAATTAGGTCATAGGATCTGCCATATTCCAGTATACGAAGGGCCATACTCAAAAATGTGTTCTAAAAACAATCGGAAATTGGATAAAAATGTTACGGACATGTGTTATAATTAAAAGAGAATATTAAGAATAAATCACTAAAAAGCTTTTTTTGTTTCTTTCCGAGCACTGAGGACATTATTCATTGAACAGCCCTCATATACCCCGGTATTCATTTATGAATATCCTGATACTGTATAACCGATCTATCATGCAAAAAATTTCTTTGTTGAAATGAAACATATGGATATAACAAACAGAATTCAAGATCAAAAGTCCATAAAACAATACAAAACAGGAGCAGACGAAATACAGACCTCCAAAACACCAGAGGTGGGATCAGGCCGAGGGGGGGGGGGCATAAAGCTTAGACGAGCTGACTTTTGATCTCAGTCTCACTTTTTCCAAAGAAACTAATAGTGGAACGTGAGACTGAGATCAAAATTGAGCTAGTCTAAGTTTTATGGCCCCAGGCATCCCTTGCCTATCGGTCACACCCACTGTGTGCTCCTTGTCATGATCGTGAAATAACGGGAAAATCCGTCTTCAATTCAGAGTATAAATACTGTATACAGGGAAATTTTTTGCCCGTTTTATTTTCGCCCCTTTCGCCCTTCTCACAGATGGGCGAATTTAAAAGGGGTGAATCCACAGAACACAGTATTATCTCTTAAATAGTGTTGGCAACGAGTACCCGGTTAACCGGTTAACCGTCGAAAGATGCGAGTATCGGTTAGTAAAACTGCTATTCGGTTACTCGCATGAAAAAATTCTACATAGTAAATGCATATATAATGATTGTTTTATAATTTATAAATGTATACTTACACATTTTCCTAATTTTAGATACCGTTGGACTTGATCTAATGCATGGTTGTCGAGAATCAAATTGTTTTGATTAGTTTTCACAGTTTATATAATTGATAGCTTTGATTACTTGGGGATATACAACTTTTGAAGGACTGAGTTTTGATTACCTCATTTGATAATTTAACGAAATGCCGCCACAGACATATTAAGCTTGGAGTTTTAAGAAAGAACAACTGATTCAAATACTGTTAAGTCACCTAAGCGTAAAGTATTCAGAAATTAGAAATTTATCGGACACTCAACAAATTATCGATTAATAAAATAAAAGATGTGGATACTTTTACGAAAAATCATCCGAGTAACCGGTTACTCGATCGGAAGATGAAGCGAGTAATCGGTTACTAAAAATCGTCCGATTTGCCATAAACAGAACTGTGACTGGGCGAATTTTAAGGCGGGGCAAAATTGTTAGCAAGTGCAAAAGGGCAAAAATAACCCAGTATACAGTAATGGACTAACAATTGGTACGAAAAACGTCAGTCAGCATTTGACTCAATGATAAATTGTATTTGCTGACATTAAGTCTTCGTGCAAACCATAGAACTTACGAAATGACGACTGTTGGTATTCTTTGAGTCTGAAACATCTGTTTCATGTTTGGATATTTTACTTGACGTTAATGGTAATCTAACAACCAAGCTCTATGATAAACGTGATGACTAACTTTTCACAGCAATGTACCTTCACCACCTACATACGGGGTTAATATATCTCAATTGATTCGATACACAAGAGCATGCTCTAAATATGAACAATTTCTAAAACGAGGTAATTGGTTGACAAACAAGTTGTTGCACAGTACTCTTGAAACTTCTCCTTGACT